TATGAGATGCTTCCCTTATACTTATTTTGAAAGTAGGATAAAGTATAGTTTGGAATAAAGCACTTATTCCGCTTGGCTATATATTGACTTCATCTATTGAAATTAGACACTGTTGCTGTCGATCTACCATCTTACTCCCGGATAACTTTGAAAATTTTTTTTTTCCTTATTAATCTCTCATTCTCATAATTATCACAATTTCAATTCATCTTTGTTTTTATCTACTAGACAAGACTTTCCGGCTTTCTGTGTGCAGACTGTTCGACAGCGTGAGAGTGACCTTTGGTTATGTCAATTCTCGCCAGATGGTCATTACTTAGTTGCCGGAGGAAAGGAGGCCAATGTGGACGTGTGGCGTGTTGATCCGGTTCACCATACTGTCTCTTTTTTTCGTCTTCTTGATACTCCTGCATACGTTGCCCACTTTTGTTGGTCTCCGGATGCTGTCAAGTAATATTACTTTTTATGAAGCTTTTAATTATATAGGTAATTGGTATTTTCAACTAGCTACAGATATACAAAGACCAACATGTGGCCTCTATTTTGGTCGCAGTCTTTTCTCGACGTATAGATGTGGTCTGATCTCATTTTCGCAACTTAGTCTTGTCAGAGCGACTTGGCTAGACGTACCTTGTTCGAAATCCTCTGCTATATTAGTCTGCATCATTTCCGACTTTGGACCGTAGACTTGGTACATTCCCAGACGTCTCTGACAAGTTGTAGCTTGGTGCTGAGAATGGCAAGGCTTACTGACGATGCCAGCAAAACGTCTGAGAATGCTCCAAGTCCAAGGTCCGACGCTTGGAGATATGAGAACTACTATAGCAGAGGACCTCGTACAAGGTGTGTTCAACCAAGTCGCCCTGACAACACTACCAAGTTGTGAAAACGAGGCCAGACCACATGGCTACAGAGATTTTGATATGCTTTCTTGTACCTTTAGTTTTTGCAACATTTCAGCTGAACCATACTCAGTGATACTAAAGCAGGGAGCTCATAAAGTTAATTTAGTGGGTGATTTGCATAAACTTGGCACACTTATAATCCTTTTATCAACTTTTCAGGATTCATATTATTTTCATTTCTATATTCACACCTCCACCTATTGTGCAACATACTATTTCGATCCCGAATATAAAAACGAAGATAGTTCCACCCAAGGTTGAATCGCTCTCGTCTTTTTAGAGTTGATTTTACTTTATTTTTACTACATCGTCATGTTTAAAAAGGGACTTTTGTAAATAGCCCAAGAATGCGATATTACTTTCCGTTCTTACATCATCTAATTAACGATTTGGTACAGTCCTATAATTTTTTGCCAGCATCTTTAATAAGAAAAGCCATATTTGGCACTAAACTCGAGCTCAGCAATGATAATTCATACCATTGACCAGTACGTGTAACCATTATACTCCCTTAGTCTATTTCATTCCTTTTTCGCTCCTCCATTTCACTATCAACTTATCTGGC